GCCTGAGGAGACACAGCTCACTTCCTGACATAGACTGGTCCATATGGCATGATACAGGCTAGTCTCCAAAAGAAGCATGGACTAGTCTGAAAGCCTGGCATTCCAGAGGAACCCCAACTCAGCCCCTGCCAGGGACTGTCCCATATAGGACAATACAATCCAGTCCATACATGAGTGTGAAGGCCACAGTCTGGTTTGTAATGGGGGGGAGGAGCAGATCCATAAGGGTGGCAATCTAGGCCAGTCCCCAAGAAAGGTCCATATCAGCAAAGAGTTGCAGTTCAATCACTGGTGCACATGTGGCAATTCAGCCCAGTCCATACAGGGATGACAAGGGAATCTGGTCAATACAGAGAAGAAGGGACTAGTCCATATGGAGCCATACAACCTAGTACATGCCAGGGATGGGGGAGCCCAGCCCAGTCCTTGACAGGTGTGATCATACAGGCGATACAGCCTGGTTCAGGGGTGGGGGAGGGAGAAGACTGGACCAAACAAGGAGGAGGGAGAATCCAACACTGGTGCATATGAGGGGATACAGCCTAATCCATATGGGGAAGTGAGGGAGGAGCTGGCCCATACCGTGCAATAAAGCCCAGTGTATACAGGATGGGGAGCAACTGGAATATACAGTGAGGAGAGACCTAGCCCTGGTCCATATGGGACCATACAACTTGGTCCATAGGGAAGGAGCAGGAGCTGGTTCATACGGGAGGGAGCTCAGTCCTGGTCAATACAGGGGATGGAGAGAGTTCATCCCTGGTGTATGCAGGAGGGGCTGGTCCAAATTCTGGGGGTGCAGCCCTGATCCATACAAGGGAATAAAGCCCACTCCATAGGGGAAGGAACTAGTCCATATGCAGGAATAGTCCATATGGAGAGAGTAAGGGCTGATTCATATGCAAGGGGAGGGGGTGTCCAGTCCTGGTCCCTGCAGTGGGGGGGGGGGGGACTGGTCCATACAAGGGAGAGGGGCTCCAGCCCTGGTCTATGAAGTGGGAGGGGCTGGTCCATACGGGTGTAGGGGGAAGATCCAGCCCTGGTCCATGCAGGGCGGAGGGGCTGGTCCATACAGGGGAGAAGGGGTCCAGCCCTAGTCGATGAAGGGAAGGGGGTGTCCAGCCCTGGCCAATGCGGGGGGAGGGGCTAGTCCATATGGGGGTGTCGGGGCCCCAGCCCGCCCTGTCCCCCTCCCAGCGGGTCCCTCTTACCCCGCGGCGCGTCAGCCGCTTGCTCCCCAGCTGTCAGGTACCAGCCACCGCAACTTCCTCAGGCACCTCCGCCCCCTCGTACCCTGCCCCGCCCACGTGGCTTCTCATTGGCTGTTCCTTTAGAAAGCCACCTCCCATTGGTCGCTTTTGCCACACCCCTATTTCCCCTCGGTCGCGCCCCCAGAGCCCCATCTGTGGCCGAGCAGACCTGTCACTCAGCGGTTCAAGCCTGCCGCCATCCCGCCCCCCCGATGACTTGACCACCTCTCTATTGGCCGCCCCTAAGATCTGATGCCTGGCATTGGCCAGCATCTCTCATTCTTTTTTTCTATTGGACATACAATTGTCAATCGGCGTCCCAGAGCCCCGCCTAAAGGGGGACGTGGATGTACCATGGTGAACCCGCCCCCATCTAGGAACGGACATTGGCTGTCCGACTAAAACCTCTCCTGCCGCGATTGGTTGGAGGAAGGAAGGGGCGGGCCCCAACATAGTGGGCGTGGCCGAGTGAGTCATTCAGCCAGCCAGGCAGGGAACACGTGACCGTAACACTATGCGGCGCGGGCCCGGCAGCCGGGGAGGTGAGGCGCGTGCTGAACGAGTGTGGGGACAGTGCCTGTGCGCTGCAGGGGGACCCCGCCCGAGGCTGCACACTGGCTGGGGTGCCCCTTAGGGGAGGGGCGGGACAATCCCCCTCCCCAGGGTCTGTAATAACCAAACAGCGAGCGGCGTCAGGCTGCATCAGGCGGAGGGGCTGGACTGCCCTCAGCACCGCCCCCTTTACATACCCTGAGCTGCCCACTCGGGCTTCCCACCTTCCACGTTGCAACTCTGCCTTGCAAGGCCGCTACGCCAGGGCCCCATCGCTCTGGGGACGGTGAAGTGGCCACTGGGAGGCAGGCAAGAGAACCCAAAGTGACCTCCCTCATATAATCAGGCCAGGGGAGAGCTCGAGGACTCTGAGCCCTGGGGAATCCACCTTCACTGTGCCTAGCATAGGGCTTATACCGCACAGAGGACTTGTTCTGATTCCATCCACCCGCATTTCTCTGTCCCAGCCCCCCCCAAAAAACCACCTCACTCTCTCTCTCCTACACACGTGGCCTTAGGATCAAGTCCCTGCTGAATGAGCCCTTCTGCTGCAAGGTGACTGGGTGGTGACAAAGGGATGGCATGATTGGTAGCTGCTCCTCCACACATCATAAACCGGCAGTGGGTGATGGAAATGAACCAGCAAGTAGAAAAGAGAAAGGGGATGCTGAGGGGATCATCCCAGGGAGCAAGCCCTGCTGAGAGCACTGTAGCTGTGCAAATATGTGCATCAACTCTGTGCCCATTTTCTGCAGCACTGTAGTTCATGCTTTTACAGCTCCCTCCTGAAAGGTATTAGCATGGCAGAGTCCTCTCTCCTTAGGCAGGTTCAGCTCATCAGGGCTTGCAAAGCTAATGAGGGTCAAGGCATACAGAACACCCTACTACTGCAGGAAATGGAGGACCAGGGCTCAACAAGGGACACTCACCCTTGGGAGACTGCTGACCCCAGCATGGTGCTAGGGGTTGCTGTGAGGCAGGGAGCTGAGCAAGGGACACACTCCCCTCGCAGTCAGTGCAGATGCCCATGCCCCAGTGCAGCAGTAGAGGGTGCTGTGCACTTTATAATGCTGCATTTTGGACAGGGACATAGAGCCAAGCTCATCCCCTTCCACTGAGGGTCTCTTTCTGGACCGTAGCCCCAGAGGTCACTGCAGTTAAACACCAGAAAGAGAAGCTCTGACCTCCCCCACAGCCTCTGTGGGTCAAGGCTCCCTTTCCACGCATTTGTTGCTCTCCTCTTCAGCACCATCGCAGATCTGATTCGCCACTGAATTTACAATACTCAGGAGTCACACACAAGGAGCAGCAGTGTAGGGACAGGGCTGCATCAAATCACTTTAGGGGGGTAGTTGCTTTCCCAGAGGGACCATTTATTCAGGGCTCAAGAGGTTATCCCACTATATGAGTCTTAGATGTGAGCAAGAGAGATGGTTTCCATTGCTGCTACACCAATGACGCAAGTACTGGAGCAGATTTAATCCTTAGTAGATGCTGTATATTACAGCATCATAACAGGCACTGTACAGACAGCCCCAGCTGAGATCAAGGCCCTTGTTGACCAGGCACTGCACAGACCCTACCTGCAACGGGGGTCCCTGTCATGCTGGGAGCTGCATGAATCTCAGCCAGGATCAGCCCCCCCTTCCCCCCCCATCATGCCGGGTGCTGCACAGACTCACAGTCCCTGCCCCACAGAGCTCAGTCTAAATAGGCAAAGGGTGGGAGGAGAAACAGGTGCAACATAGGGAAGGGCCTTGCTCATGGTCACCCAGCAGATCAGTGGCAGAGGTGGGAATAGAACCCATGTGTCCTGAGTCCTAGCCTAGTGTCCTAGCCCTTGGGACGACTGTGCTGCTGCTGTCCCTGGGGGCCAGGAAGCAAGGGTAGCAGCTTCTTGAGCTTTTCCTCCGTGCTACTGATTTTAGCAACATGTCACTGTTAAAACAACTCTGGGCATGTGCCCATCACTCTGATGTGTGTTTGGGGGGGAAGCCGCAGGGGCTTACAAGGGTCTTGCCAGTCATGGACCTGGGAGCAGCTGAGGACTGGGAGCAATGGGATACAGGGAGCAGCTGGGATCGGAGTGCAGTGGAAGCCCAGGCCCTTGTCAAACTGCTTTGCCAGCAGATAGAGAGGGAAGTGGTTTGGGCAGGTGGAAGCAGGCTCATGCTCCATTCCCCACAGGCACCCTGTGACAGGCTAGTCCCCATGAGCTCACAGTCAGCTGGGTCTGTGTCAAAGGACCAGCCCCACCCCACATAGTCACCAGGCCCCCAGTCTCTCCTCCCCCCCCCCCCCACGCCTCTCATAGGCTAGACTCACAGTCAGTGTCACACAACCAGCTTCCTTTAGGCACCCGGCTCCCCCTCCCCCAGCCTGGAGTTGCCCTGGTGCCCAGAGGGGAAGGAGCATCCCCTTCAGGCTAGTTCTCTTCCCAGGGGTGCAGCAGCATCCCCTGGGGCTCTAATATTTACCTGCTGAAATGCTGAGCTCCCCCCTCACCCTTCCCTCAGGAGGGACTGGGATTTGAGAGCAGCAGATAGGAAGCCAGGGCTAAGAGATGTTGGAACTGGGAGAGACAAGGCTCTCCAGTTACTCAGCCCACTAGATGCCCCTTACCCTGTAGCTTCAGTTTCCCCGTTTTGCTTCATGTCCCTCCCTCAGGAGCAATCAGCCCCAGCAACAGCGGCTCTGAGCCTCCCTGCACCAGACTTCAAGCACTTAAAGGGTTAATCTGGGAGGGTAGGAGCCTGAAAGTTTTGAGGGGCAGTTTGGTTCTGGACTCCAGTTTTCTTCCTAGCCCAGGCAGAGTCTGATTATAGCACCTAGCTCTTACCCAGTGCTTTCAAAGCACTTTACTGAGGCTGTCAGTATAATTACCCCTATGTGACAGACGGGGAAGCCAAGGCACTGAGGGGACATGACTTGCCCAAGGTCACTGGGGTGGCACCCAGGACCCCACATGCCAGGCACTGCCCAGATCTTGCCAGACCAGCCAGCTGCAGCAATAAGGCATCAGGACCCAGGCCGGGGGCTCTAAGCTGCTAACAGGGTTCCTGCTCTCTGCCCATTAGACCTTCATTGACTGTGCTGCTACAGCAGCAACGTTTGACCCCACAGGGCAACGTGGAGGGACTTCTGATGAGTAGCAGCATCTACCTTTGACCTCATGGGCTGAGATTTGCAGGGGGGAGAGGGGGGAAGAGAAAAGAACTTTGTGATAAGGCAGCCAGAGCAGGGACCTTTGGCCCATGGGACTGGAGGGGAAAGGGGAATTTCCATAAGAGGCCTGATTGGATGGGGTGGCACCCACAGGTGCCACACCCACCCCAACGGGTGAATCAGCCAGAGCAAAAAAGGGAAGCTAGAACCACTTGCCTTTGGGGATCTGGCCAGGACAGGAGCATTTGGCCTCTGCGGGTCAGCAGGGACAGGATCAGACTCTGTCAGCTCCAGATCAGGCCACCCCCACTCCAGAGATGGCCCATGGCAGGAGCTTCCGGAGAGCATACTCCCTCCGCACCCCCAAATCCCCCAGCCTCCTGGATTCTACCTACGGCCGACTGGAGGATAAAACAGAGAGCTCGGACAAGGCTAAGCAGAGGGCAAAGAGGAGAGCTGTGAGCCTGAGGGGGTGGAAGAGTGGGGTGGAAGAGTCCCCAGCTGAGAGGACCCCCACCCCAGGGGAGATGCCCCACTCACTAAGCCCCGATGATGGGGAGCTGCTGATCGGAGAGGCTCAGAGCAAGGGCTCTCACAGGATGAAGCAGTGCAAGAAGGTAACAGCTTGGAAACCCAGGGGGTGACATGGGATGGGTTTGGGGGTGCACTGGTGGGAGCCCCCCCAATGTTTTCCTGGCCTTCCCACCAACCCCATCCCAGCCTAGATTTTTCCCAGCAGCCCTTGGGGGTTTCCATTCCTTCAGATGCCCCTCCTTCCAATCTTCTCCACTGGTGGAGTTTTCTGCCCCTTACCGCCCCCCCCAACCCAGTTACCCCCTGTACCCCTCTCCAATATCCTATCCCAACCCCTCTGATCCAGTGAGGTCATTACCCTTTCTGCCTTTACCAATCCCCAGCTCCACTCTTCTATCAGTGGCATTTCCCCCCTTCCCCCAACACACACACAGGGGAAGTTACCACCCCCCTCCCTGTCCCATCCCTGCCAGACCCTCCCATCTCCAGCAGTGCTATTTTCTACCCCTCACCTCAAGGGGTGCTAAAATTTTTACTGCCCTCTCATGCTTGGTGGCAGAGGACTCTGCAGGCCCCCACCCCATGGAAGGCTGCTAATGGCTTATACTGGGGTTTGGTTTCTAAAGAGTGAATACATGGCAGCTGATGATGCAAGTGTGTAACAGGCATGAAGTTATAAACCCTGCCAGGAGAGGGCATTATACATTGTTATACCCCTTTTGATCTGTCAGGCTCTAACCATTTATTTAGACCTCTGTTAACCCTTTATCCATGGAGGGGGAAAGTGACCCAGTACTCTGGGTGTTAGCCTGCAACTCAGACTGCAGTAAATTCCCTGGTCCACGACCCAACTTAGACAAGTTTTAGTTTTACAGTAAGGGGAAACTGAGTCAGACGCAGAAGACAGTAGCTTTGCACTGCCTTGCTAGCATTGTTGTGAAGATAGCTACACTAAGGGTTGAGAGGCCCCCAGCTAATGGTGGTGTGAGATGGTCTCCCCCCACTCTGGGGTCAGATCAGAGCCGGCACCCCCTAGAGGAGTAGGTCTATTCCTCCCCCCCCGAGCCAGCCTGTTTCCCTCCCTGAATGGAAGCCAGCACCTGCTAGAGGGGAAAAGCCCCACATATCACTCCCTGCCCCCACAAGCCAGACAGTGGTGGGGTGCTGTTAAGCCTTTGGAAGTGGGGAGAATTTGTCCCACTTTAGGGGATGGGGAGGAAGAAGGAAAGAAAAATAGCCTTCTAAGCAGGACCAGGTAGGAAATGGTTGTCCCATCCTATGACAATTTGAGATTTCAAAAGCTCTTCCCCACCCCCAAACACACACCAGAAAGTTGGTGAACGCAACTGAAAACAGTTTTGAGTCAGATCCATTAAAACAAAACATTTCAGTATTAAAGTCTAAATGAAGTTAAATTTCAAACAAAAAAATAGCTTCAAAGCAAAATATCAGATGTTTGTTAAACAAATATCAAGACAGGACATTCCAGGCCCCTCCTCCCCCAATGTTTTATCAAGCCAGGAAATTAATCAAACCGACCCTTTTCACAAACTGGGTTGGTTTCAACTAATCAGCATTTTTTGGCCAAGAATGTTTTGTTGACTAGCTCCCAAGCATCTGTAACAGAACCCTCCCTTATCAGAGTTCAGCCCGCTATAGTTCAAGTTGAGACTTGCTTTCTGCTCAACATACGGTTTTTGTAAGTCCTCAAAAATATATCAGCTGACTCAAATGGTCTTGAAAAACTGCCATGCCTCATGGGGGCCTTGGCTAGAATTAGCACTACAGCTATGGTCTCTTTGAACAGGGATTTACAAGATAGAGTGCCCCAAGATCTCACATGGTGCATAAACCTCCTAGTTCTTATTAGGGAGTGTTTTGATCACATTAGTGCCTAGTAATTCTTCCCCCTCACACACCTCTCACTAGCTGTATTGAGGTAGCACCTACAGACCAGGGTCCCATTGGCCTCAAATGCCATACTAAACTAGAACCAAGCAGCAGTCACTGCCCTGAGGAGCTTACAGTCCCAGTACCCATGGCATCTAGGCCTTTTGGAAATTTAATAGCTTAGTTATTGCAATGCCCCAGGGAGCCGGGCTCCCCCGCCCCTCAGCCTCAAGATGGGCAATAGCTTAGGGATCAGCCTCTGCTCAGGGGACATTTGGGATTATAACAGGGCAGAAAGCTCAGGCTGTAACCCAGGGGTAGGCAACTTATGGCACACGTGCCAAAGGCAGCACTTGAGCTGATTTTCAGTAGCACTCACACCACACTGTCCGGGTCCTGGCCACTGGTCCGGGGGACTCTGCATTTTAATTTAATTTTAAATGAAGCTTCTTAAACATTTTAAAAGCCTTATTTACTTTACATACAACAATAGTTTAGTTATATATTATAGACTTATAGAAAGATCTTCTAAAAATGTTTAGATGTATCACTGGCACGTGAAACCTTAAATCAGAGTGAATAAATGAAGACTCGGCACACCACTTCTGAAAGGTTGCCGACCCCTGCTGTAACCCAACTTCTGATGGGCTGAGCACCCCCTGGAGAGGAAAATGGCCACAGCCCCTTCACCATGCCTCAGACCCAAACCTGCTCCCCTTCAGGCACATAAAAGGTCAAGGCCCCCTCACAGCCAGGTCCTGCCAATCACACCACAGACACTTGCCGTAACAAGCCACCTTTGCTGAGGGCTCCTTTAGTTACATATAAGCACTAGACCCACCCCACCAGAGTTTTAAATATAGGTCCAGATGTCTGTTTATAGGTTTTCCCAAGACTCTCATCCTTCACCATCCAGCCAGATCCTTCTCCCATCTTACAGGCCCCACAGATTCCCCAGGGTTCCCCCCAAACTTCCCAGTTGTGGGGTTACTCACCAGTCCCAGGTATTTAGTGTCTATCCCACTGGGCTCCTCTCTGTAATCCCACCTTGGACTTCCCCTGGATCCTGTCCCTTAGCCAGGACAGCAGCCTCCTGGACCAGTCCACTGAGCCTTTCATTTCTCAGCAGCACATCTCTGTGCCCCTGCCAGCAACCACCTAGAAGTTTGCCTCCTGCTTCCCTCATCTAGGGATTCTAGCAGCCATAGCCCTCAGCTAACCTAAGTTAGGCCTGCAGAGAGCATTTTATGAGAAGCTCCCAGCCCCTCCTCAGCTGGGACTGATCACTAACTGAAGTGGCCCCAGGTGGAATTAGGTGAGCTGCTAAACAGTCCCTGCTGGGAAGCATCTAATTAGTCACGGGCCTGTGCTCGTTCCCTCTTAAAGGGGCCTAGCACCCTGTGACAGGCTGGATTGGAGCCTTTCCCTAGAGGGGAAGGTCCTGTATCCCACCCCCTGCGCTAGACAGTCCCCCTGCCCTGGGGTCAGATAGGAGCCAGCATCCCCATTCCCAACACCCTGAGCCAGCCAGTCCCCTGGCTTGGTGGGCACCGCTTCTCCCAGCCTGTCTTCATAGAAGCAATTCTCAGCTCAGCCAGGGGGAATCTCAGCCTACAGCCTACTGGAACCCCAGCTGTGACTTTGTCCCCAGCTTCCCGGGAGCAGCCCCTAGGCCAGCCCCACCTGATACCTGCTGTCATGGCCTTTGCGCCTGCCTTGGGGCGGGAGGCAAATCATGGAGGGGTCCCATCAGAGCACACCCTTTCTTGACCTTTCACCCTGTTCTCTACCCTCCAGCAGGTGGACCGAGCCCTCCGCAGAGGCTGGGAGACCTTTGTGGCTAACCTATACAGCGTGACACTGAGCCGCCCAGCTCCCCCCTCCGAGGCTGCCCCCTTGCGGTGAGAACACGTTGAGGAACCAGAAGAAGAAACAATGACTCTGGGTGGCTGGGCCACCCCCAGAGACATGAACTTCCTAGAGCAGCATCAGCCACTGATCTGGCTGCATTGGGGACAGGGTGCTTTTTTATAACGACTGGAGATGGGCCTGGGCCACCCATCCGGATCTGTCCCCCAATCGATCTGTCCCCCAACACTGATCCATCATCCGTCCATCCCCATATACACCTCTCTGTCTGCCCTCATATACACTTAGCTATCCATCCATCCATCCCCACAGACACCCATCTGTCTATCCCCATATACACCTGTCTAGCCATCCATCCCCACAGGCCCCCATCTGTCTATCCCCAAATATACCTGTCTAGCTATCCATCCCCATAGACACCCATCTGTCTATCCCCATATACAACCTATTTATCCCTACATGCCCCTCTATCTATCCCCCTATACATCTATCCATCCCCATAGACACCCGTTCCGTTTGCCTATCCCCACATAGGTCTATCCATCCATCCCGATACACCTCTCTCTCTCTATCGATACATCTCTATCTACCTGCACATGCATCCTCCTCCTTACCTTCATACATACCTGTCTCTCTAAGTTTCTCTCCTATGGTCCAGGGTGGCTGGAGTACAAGTTCCCAGCCTGGCCCCCTCGCTGGTAACCTGGGAACAGAAATCTCAGCTCCGACTACATTTCTCCTGCTAGGCCTCCATCCAAACCCGTAACCATCGGTGCTACTCCCCAGCCCTTGCTGCTGCTCACCTAGCCGGAGCTGTAATGCCCGGGCAGTATTTCCCTGCATGTCGGCAACCATGGAGGCGGAGGGGACGGGGTGTGCTGGCTACACTGTAAATAGTCTCCGAGTCACAGGGACTCCCATTATTAATCCCACCCTCATTAACCTGCCCTAACACAGCAATCCAACCCAGGAGCATGGCACTAAGGGACTCAGACTGTCTCCTGCTGTGGGGTGGGAAGGGAAAGGAACCAAGTGATTTTTCAGGGGGGTTGATTTTTCACTAGGCAGAGCCACAGGGACTCCTTAGTAGCCCCCCTTCCCAGTGTGGGTACATCCCAGGCACAGGGGCATCAAACTGGCTACTGCTGGGCAGAGCCAGACATGCCTGTGAAAGGAGCGTCTGGGGTTCCCTTGGAAAGCCGGAGGGTGCTGGGGGAGGGGAGCCATGCCAGCCCCAGAGGACGCCACACCCACAGCAGGCAGTGGGCAGTGCCAGGCCCAGAGAGGCCCTGCCCAGTGCAGACAGGGCAAAGGGTGCCTGATGGCAGGCAAAGTAGTGAGTCTGGAACCTGTCTGGCCACCCCATCCTCAGGCCCACACACTTGGGAGCCTTGGGGGTCAAGTGCTCTCGCTAGCAGGGGGGGATACAAGTCGCTCCCTGGCAGGTCTTCAGCAACAGGGACCAAACCAGTGCCCTCTGGATCTAAATGCAAAAGCCTCTCCTGCCTGAGCTAAAAGCCAGGGCTCTGCCAGGTTCCTCAACCTGTGTATGTGGCCCAGCCGCCACTAGAGGGGGACAAAGCACCATGCTGAGTGCCCCAGCGGTCTGTGGCCTTGGTGGAATGAAGGGTTGCCATGTTTTCAGCATTGTATGAACGGTCCTTATAACCTGATGTGCTGCATGCCCTGCGCTAATAAACCCTGAAACCCCACCACAGCATCTGAGCCTGCTTTCATTACCACCCCAGACATGGCCCCTTCTGCCATGAACTAGGTGAGAGGGATGGGGCAGCATGGCTGAGGGGTGGGGTGGCACTGGGCCACTACCACTGTCCAACTGAGATCCCACAGACACTGAGCCATGGGCCCTAAGGAGCCAGAATGCTCCTCAGAACAGGCCACATGATCGGGAGCCAGGACTCCTGGGTTCTCTGCTTGGATCTAGGAGAGAAGTGGCGTCCAATGGTTAGAGCAGGGAAGCTGAGAGTCAGAACTCTTGGGTTTTATTTCAGAATAGGAGGTGGGGGGGGGGGGGGAGTGTCTAATGGATACAAGTAGGAATTTAGGGCCAGGACACCTGGGTTCCATCCCTGGGCTTAGCAAGGGCGTGGGATTTGGTGGTTAGAGTGGAGAAGCTGGGAGTCCGGACTCATGGGTTAGGTTCCTGAATCTAAGAGAGGATGGGGTCTACTGGTAAGAAAAAGGAATTGGAAGGCAGGACTTCCAGCTTCCCTTCCCATTTGCCTCCGCATTGGAGAAAGTCCAGAGAAGAGCAACAAAAATTATTAAAGGTCTAGAAAACATGACCTATGAGGGAAGATTGAAAAAACTGGGTTTGTTTAGGAGAAGACTGAGAGGGGCTATGATAAGAGTTTTCAAGTACGTAAAAGGTTGTTACAAGGAGAAGGGAGAAAAATTGTTCTTCTTAACCTCTGCGGATTGGACAATCGGGCTTAAATTGCAGCAAGGGCGGTTTAGGTTGGACATTGGGAAAAACTTCCTGTCAGAGTGGTTAAGCACTGAAATAAATTGCCTAGGGAGGTTCTGGAATCTCCATCATTGGGGATTTTTACGAGCAGGTTGGACAAACACCTGTCAGGGATGGTCTAGACAATACTTAGTCCTGCCTTGAGTGCAGGGGACTGGACTAGATGACCTCTCGAGGTCCCTTCCAGTTCTATGATTAATGGTAGGTACCATTACTATGAGGTCCGCAGGTGGGAAAGCGCACTGTGTTATATAACTCAGAGCACGTTGTAAATAACACGACTCCCACAGAGCCAAAGTCCACCCCTCAGGGCTGTCAGCCCAAGGTGGCGAGCACTAGAAAGGTGCTATCACAGCAGGATCATTGCAACATGGAAATCTTCCCCAAGCCATGTTGGGAGCTGTTTGCCTTGTATCAGCCAGGCCCCTGGGGGTGAAGGAAAAAGCCACAATCTCCCACCATCACCCGATGCTACAAATTATTCACAGATTGTTGCCTCTTTGACCTGAGCAGTTCCCAAACAATCAGGGCTTTGTAGGGATGTTTTCATTTGCAGCAGAAATGTGAGATATGAGTCAAGTCTATTCTGGGGGTAGTTTTGTTTATACATTTAAAAAAATGGACCCAGAGTGCTGTTGCCCTTGACACAGTACAAGCCCCCAACCGATCAGGACAAATAAGAGAGTTTTTGATTTGCTGGAAAGTCTTAAAATAACAAAACACACCCATAGGACCACGGTCTACTCCCAGTGCTGCAGGCTGGGACCTGCTGCTTTACTCAAGGGCATCACAACAGAGTTGGGGGGAAACTCCCCACCACCAGCAGCTAAAGCAAGAAGTAAGGGAGGGGTGGAGCACCGTTCCATCCCAGAATACTCTGGGTAACCCAATTAACTATCATGACCACTTTATTACATCCAGGGCTCATTATTTTATTAACATGCCAGACCTAGCTACGTACCCACTGCAGCTCAGGGGGTGGGGTGGAGATGTTGCAGCAGCTTGTCACTCACAGGACACAGTGGTAGTGGGCTCACCTGCTATTTAAATGGATCCCACCCTATTCCTATGCACTACACACGGGTCACATCTGAGGCACAGGATATGAATTTTCTTTGCAACTGAGGGAGACCCTGCAGATTTTAGAGTAACCCAAAGCAGCCAGTACATGGTGTTTGGGCTCATTTTATTTCTGCTCTTTAGCCAAGCCTCTGGCAGTGTTATGGATTATAAGGGCAGAAGGAACCATTATTAGCATTTGGGGGGCGACAGCGCCCACCAGCCCCAGGCAGGGACCAGGACCCTGTCCGCTAGGCCCTACGCAGACACAGAACAAAGCTGGTGCCTGCCCCAAAGAGTTTCCAGTCTAATCCAGCCTTCTGCAGAACAGTTCAGAGCATCCTCCCAGCCATTCCTGCACCTAGCCCAGAATGGCTCTTGGAGCCGGAGCACACTGTTAGCCCATATTCAGGGTCCTGCCTCTGCTGTCTGCTCCTCCCACTCCACCCTAAGCCCCATCCCCTCCCCCGAGCCAGCGACTCTCCCACCTTCAGGCCACATCAGAGAGGGTGCCTCTAGGAGGGAAAGGCCCCCCATGTTCCCCACTGAGCCAGCCTGGTCCCCCACCGTAGGGCCCAGATGTAAATGTCAGTTCAGCTCCAAGCAGTTTGGCTCAGTCCAAATCAGGTCACCGTTCAGGTCAGGCCAGCACAGCCCTTACCTTGGGAACCAGGCATTTATCTATCACAACTCGAGATGGATCCAGCTCATGCTGTCTGTCCACCAGACCCACAAAGCTGCCTATTGCCACGTGTCTGTTCAGCCCACTGGGTTTTTAGACCTTATTCATCTTCCCCATAGTGCGAGGTAGCTGGGATCAGAACTCCTGGCTTAGCCCCATTCTCTGATAACCTGAGAACAGATGTAAAGCCTAGATCTGTATAGACCCCTGCTCTGACTGCTTCTAACTCCTAGAAAACTATTGGCATTCCCAGAAGGCTTGAGATGTTTAAAGGGATACTGCCCTTTTTCTATATATATCTGTAACTGAGTACAGAGGAAGTAGGTGGATTTGCTATTACTTAAGAGTCTTTAAATCAAGACTGGATATCTGTCTGAAATAAAAGTTATGCTCTAGCTCAACTGCCAGATATGGGTTGGATGAAATTCCATGGCCTGCGTCTCGCAGCTCAGCAAAGATGAGCACAATTGCCTTGAAATCTATGAAGTATTCAACAACAGAGAAAAGAGGGACGGAGGAACTGAGGGAAGAAAAACACCAGCCATTGAATCATGGAGGATTAGTTTTATTCCCTACATCATAGGGGATGCCAAATCTTAGCTATGACAGAAAGCATCCAGGGGCTTCAGTCTGGTCATTAAGCCAGGCTGAACAATCAGACACTACAGGAGAAGAGGGGCCCAGCCATTTCCAAACCTGCTCCGAGAGGGGGAGATGGGGGGAGAGGAGGAGATGTAAGATCCTGATCTTCCTCCTCCTGGTGGGGAATATGGGGATTAGAGAGAAGAGGCAACAATAGAAGAAGAGAGAGCCAGCGTGACCCCCAGGCAGCATCGATCAATGGCAGATCGGTTCACTGTCGTCAGATGGGACGGGTTTCAGGAGTCAGACAGAGCAGTTCTGAGATAATAACTGTGTCTCGTTGAGCCAGGGACGGGACCAGACCTGGAACTCACAGAGCAGTTTCTGTAGGGGGGAAAAAACGTCCCACAATTAGATAGTCATGAAACACAGTATGGCTGCTGTAATACCAGGATGAATTGGCTTATGCCCAGGTGCATTGCAGCGCAAGAGTCAGGCCCAAGATTTAGTGACAGTGACAGCACCCACTCACACAGCGCTGGGATGCAACTGCTGTTTGGTTTATTGATGGGAACTCATAATTTACCAGTGTGATCCCAAACCAGTGCCCATGCAAAGCTTCAGATAACCCCAACACTAGCAGCGAGTCAGCTTATGCCCCATACACCCAGTCTGTGTTAAAAGTGTCTTTTGTTTCCTATTTTACTTTCTACAAAGGGCACATTGGGTTAAAAGGAATCTTTATTTAAGATTCCTTACCTGAGTCACTACCAATAGGGTGGGGCGTAAATAGGTTTCCCTTCCACAGAATATTTCAACTTTTGGGCAAAACTATCCAACCCCAAAAAATATTTCAGCCAAAAACTGAGCTATTTTGATTTCAATACGGTGCTGTGGTGCTTCGCAAGAGTTGTAATTCAAGTACCTCATCTCCTATTCCCCTCGATAGGTCACACTCTCTGGCCAGACTCCATCTCTCAAGATTCACCTCTTAGGCCTGGTCTACACTACGGGGTTAGGTTGAATTTAGCCGTGTTAGGTTGATTTAAAAATGAATGCGTCCACACAACCAACCCCATTCCATCGACCTAAAGGGCTCTTAAAATCAACTTCTGTACTCCTCCCCAGTGAGGGAAGTAGCGCTAAAATTGACTTTGCTGGGTCGAATTTGGGGTAGCGCAGACGCAAATTGACAGTATTGGTCTCCGGGAGCTATCCGAAAGTGCTCCATTGTGACCGCTCTGGACAGCACTTTGAACTCCGATGCACTAGCCAGGTACACAGGAAAAGCCCCAGGAACTTTTGAATTTCATTTCCTGTTTGATCAGCGTGGCGAACTCAGCAGCACAAGTGACCATGCAGTCCCCCCAGAATCGTATAGCATAGAATGTTTCTACGCTCCCCCATCATCTCTGTCCCTGAGGTTATCGCAGATTAGAAGGCAAAACAAAACAAAAACCGCACTCGCGATGACATGTTTTCCGAGCTCATGCAGTCCTCCCACAGTGATAGGGCACAGCTTAATGCATGGAGGCATTCAGTGGCACAGGCCAGGAAAGAATTAAGTGAGCGCAAAGAGCGGTGCCAGGATGTGATGCCGAGGCTCATGGGGGAGCAAATGGACATGTTGGAGCTGCAGGAAAGCCAAAAAGAGCACAGACCCCCGCTGCATCCACTGTATAACTATCTACCTTCCTCCCCATGTTCTATAGCCTCCTCACCCAGATGCCCAAGAACACGGGGGGGAGGCTCCAGGCACCCAGCCACTCCACTGCAGAGGATGGCCCAAGCAACAGAAGAAGGCTGTCATTCTAACAGTTTGATTTTTAGTGTGGCTACAATATGCAATGTGACCTTGTCCTTCCCTCCTCCCCCACCCCACCTGGGCTATCTTG